GAACTCTAAAAGTGACGTTTTAAGCTGATCGTTTTCTTTAAGGGAACCTCGTAAAGTGTCGAACTTTTCAATGCTTTGAAATAGGTACGAAAACGCGGCTTTAAAATCAACTTCTGATACTTTCAATACCGTGAGCAGACAAAGGCATCGGAACTCGTTATAAATGTCTCTAATATCTCTACTGAGTCGGAGGGCCTTCCTGACGTATTTTTCGGCCATGTCATATTCACCAATGGACTGGAAACATGATCCCAAGTTTGCGTAACTGACTACCTCTCCTTCTCTACTGCCACTCTCTATCGAAACTGCAAGTGCTCTTTCGTGATATTCCTTAGACTTCTGATACAAACCACGCCGATAAGCGATTATTCCAAGACTTTTTAAATCACTCCATTCTCCTATTCGGTCACCAACTTTCATTCTAATTGCGATTGCTCTTTCAAGACATTTGTCAGCCTCCCCATATTTACCGAGACACAGATGAAGTTCCGATAACTTTCCGTAGCCTTCAGCTTCTCCATGTCGGTAACCAATAGCTTTAAAGATAGCGAGTGTTTTCTCCAGATACTCTCGGGCCTTTTCATAATGACCAAGCAAGAGGAACAATGTTCCTAAGTTTCCGTAGTTTGTTGCTTCTCCACCTCTGTGGCCAACAGCTTTTACAATAGCGAGTGCTTTCTCCAGATACTCTCGGGACTTGTCGTATTCACCAATCCATTGGAACAATATTCCTAAGTTTTCGTAGCCTTTTGCTTCTCCATATCTGCTGCCAAGAGCTTTTTCGATAGCGAGTGCTTTCTCCAGATACTCTCGGGCCTTTTCGTATTGACCAAGCGATCGGAACAATGTTCCTAACCTTCCGTAACTTTCTGCTTCTCCATCTCTGACGCCAACAGCTTTATTGATAGCGAGTGCTTTCTCCAGATACTCTCGGACCTTGTCGTATTGACCAAGATTTAGGAACAATGCTCCTAAGTTTCTGTAGCCTGTTGCTTCTCCATCTCTGTCGCCAATAGCTTTTTTGATAGCGAGTGCTTTCTCCAGATACTCTCGGGCCTTGTCGTATTCACCAAGCGATTCAAACAATGTTCCGAAGTTTCCGTAGTTTGTTGCTTCTCCATATCTGTCGCCAACAGCCTTATTGATAGTGAGTGCTTTCTCCAGATACTCTCGGGCCTCGTCGTATTCACCAAGCGATTCAAACAATGTTCCTAAGTTTGCGTAGACTGATGCTTCTCCATCTCTGTGGCTAAGAGCTTTTTTGATAGCGAGTGCTTTCTCCAGATACTCTCGGGCCTTGTCGTATTCACCAAGCCTTAAGAACAATGTTCCTAAGTTTCCGTAGTTTGTTGCTTCTCCATCTCTGTCGCCAACAGCTTTTTTGATAGCGAGTGCTTTCTCCAGATACTCTCGGGCCTTGTCGTATTCACCAAGCCTTAAGAACAATGTCCCTAAGTTTCCGTAGTTTGTTGCTTCTCCATCTCTGTCGCCAACAGCTTTTTTGATAGCGAGTGCTTTCTCCAGATACTCTCGGGCCTTGTCTTTTTCACCAAGCAATTGGAACACTGTTCCTAACCTTCCGTAGTTTCTTGCTTCTCCATCTCTGTTGCCAACAGCTTTTTCGATAGCGAGTGCTTTCTCCAGACACTCTCGGGCCTTTTCGTATTGACCAAGTGATTGGAACAATGTTCCTAACTTTCCGTAGACTGTTGCTTCTCCAGCTCTGTCGCCAACAGCTTTTTTGATAGCGAGTGCTTTCTCCAGATACTCTCGGGCCTTGTCGTATTGACCAAGGGACTGGAACAATGTTCCTAAGTTTCCGTAGCCTGTTGCTTCTCCATTTCTGTCGCCAATAGCTTTTTTAATAGCGAGTGCTTTCTCCAGATACTCTCGGGCCTTCTCGTATTCACCAAGCGATTGGAACAGTGTTCCTAACTTTCCGTAGTTTGTGGCCTCTCCATTTCTTTCGCCAACAACTTTTTTGATAGCGAGTGCTTTCTCCAGGCACTCTCGGGACTTTTCGTATTCACCAAGTGATTGGAACAATGTTCCTAACTTTCCGTAGACTGTTGCTTCTCCATCTCTGTCGCTAACAGCTTTTTTGATAGGGAGTGCTTTCTCCAGATATTCTCGGGCCTTGTCGTATTGACCAAGCCTTGAGAACAATGTTCCTAAGTCTCCGTAGTTTGATGCTTCTACATATCTGTCGCATACAGCTTTTGTGATAGCGAGTGCTTTCTCCAGATACTCTCGGGCCTTCTCGTATTCACCAAGTGATTGGAACAATGTTCCTAAGCTTCCGTAGACTGTTGCTTCTCCACCTCTGTCGCCAACAGCTTTTTTGATAGGGAGTGCTTTCTCCAGATACTCTCGGGCCTTGTCGTATTGACCAAGCAATAGAAACAATGCTCCTAAGTTTGCGTAGACTGTTGCTTCTTCATTTCTGTCGCCAATAGCTTTTTTAATAGCGAGTGCTTTCTCCAGATACTCTCGGGCCTT